TAAATTATTTACACGTTATTTAAAATGTAAAATTCTGATTAATTTGTTTCAAACAGAGAAAACCATATTTACCTTGTGAGTCATGGGTGTGCAATAGAGTTACCTCCACGTGGTGCATCCTGGGCATCGTATACGTATACGGCAAAAAAGTCTATTGATCAGCAGTTGACTTCTGACTTCAAACTACCATGACCCGCTTATTTGTCATACTCGACCCCTTCCACAAACCTTACCTTACCTATTCTATGCCTTTGTATCTGTCTGTCTCCTTTAAATCTGTGAATCATTATTCTGCCCCTTCCTCGTCTTTTTGTCACTTTGATGTTTCTCCTCCTCTCTATGAAATCAGAAGTCAGCTAAAGGGCTAATGATAACTATCAAAATGCCTGCCATTTGAAATAAATACACCTTGTGTGTCCAAACTTTACTATTATGATTAAATATTATTGATGAAAATTGGGATTTGAAGGAAATTGTACCGCACTTTTGAGCACCAAACCTGTGGCTCACGATAAAGGAAGAATTGTTTTTTTGGAATTTAACTCCAACTACAAGCCTGTGGGTAAGAGTTTACCATCTCAAAGCCACCAGATTGATATCAGTTATTCGGTTAAATTTTCACGTCAAATCAAAATTACTCCAATCTAAAAATTTGCTTACGTTATTATAATATTTTTCTCCAGCAGTCAGATTTTCGAAACATGATTGGGAGTAATGCTCAATCAAAAAGTGGGTTTAATTATAGCATGGACAATGACTTTGATAGTCAGAACAGATGGCCATTACAAGGAATAAACCTTCATACGGAAATCTGGGCAGAAATTTATAAATGATTCCCATGGCCATTTTATATCCCAATTTTATTTTATTGACGATATAAAAATATGCAATCATCTGCTCACAAACGAAAAACATGAGTGATTAATAGCTCTTTCAAGTTGGTTGATATTATTAATTAACTCTTGAAATTTGGAATATAAATAAATTTCTATAGTGTTCGGTATGTACTAATTTGATTATATGTATGGAGCTAGATCTTTTCATCTAGATTAAAATTTTCTCAAGAACAGCATGCGAATAACTCCACCAGAAATTACTGAAATGGTTTTAAGTAGTATAGAATAAGTGTTGCTGCCATGTTCATATTGACAAAGTTGCTTGCAAATAAGTGTCTATTTACCTAATTAGCTGAAAATACAGTTGTTCTCTGGTTGAGCAAAGTAAGGTAGTGATTGAGTCTATATATTTGAGAAAATTAGATTAAAATGAACTTTCGCGTTTTAAATGACCCATCGATAGTTAACTTAAACAAACACATTGCGAAATGCATCAAATGGACATATTGAGAATGGGATATTTTATAGAACAATATATGAATAACATTTTATTGCTTAAATAAATTATATATTAGAAAATAACTCCGCAGGCCCCATAAATGAATGTAAAGTAGTATTAATAAAAAGAAATAATTTTGCAAATAAAATTTGAATCACGACGACCAAATGATACTTGCGAAAAACCGGTTAATTAACATAATTTTGGTGAGATTTGAACTTATTGACCAAATAGGATATACCTTCAAAGTGTCCCTATATGATGTTTATGAAAAGTAGTATTCGTTAAACAAATCAGGAAAGCATAATTTACTTGGATTCCGCTGGGCAATGAGAAATCGCTGTCAACCAATGTGGTTAGTCATTCCAAAAGTGGATATTCTTCCAAAATCTTCCTTCTCATGATCTCTGAGTTCACAAATTCACATGGTAGATTTCTCTCGATAGCACACCAAAATGATTGAATTACGCAAACTGCTTATTTGCGAATGACACGGTTTTTAATATTTATTTGATTCAGGCCTACATAAGGCATACACCACATTCAAATGTATTTAATTCTTCCATCCTAATTAGAAATTCTTTTGCAACATCTGGCTTTATTAAATGGAATATAAACAAGAAATACTTTTTCAGTAAATCATTCAATCACATTAGATTATTCTGATCCACACCATCTGAATGCACACATTGAAACCCTTGCTATGACTTCAAGCTTAGCTAAAAATGTTAAAGCACTTATTTTTTTCAAAAAAACGGAAAAAAATTATTTTTTTAAAAAAGTACCACATTTTTGCCATCTCTTTCCTGACTAGAGATGTACGTTATTTAGATATTATGACCACTCTGATTTACACAACCATACGCTAATGGGGGCACATGGATTCATTTACAGAGATTAATAAGCCTAATAGAATTATGGATATGCGTGAAGTATGTACAAAATTGCTTTATCGTGAAACTCTTCCTGTAGCAAATCTGAGCGCTAGAGCGGGAATGAGAGACAGAAGAAGAGAGCGATAGAAGAAGTGGAGAAGGCGGAGGTAGAGGAGGCGAGGTGAATATATGGCCTCAGTAAATCTTGAAGGGCGTTCCAATTTGAGGCAATGAAAACGCAATGGGGATTTATCGCTCGCAGTAGAAGCAGTAGGAGGCATTTATTGCTGCTTATAAATCAACCGCTTACCGTCCCTTTAAGCCTGTCATTGGTCTACTGTTTCGACTGCTCCTTTCTGTCTCCCCCCGCCCCCCCCCCCCCCCCCCCCCCCCCCCCCCCCC